CATAAATTAGCATCTTTTTCAAAGTGTACTACTATTTTACTAGTCAAGCTCTGTCATTTGATACCCACATCGAGCCTGTTGTGGAAAAATATGTAATCCGCCGTTGTAGCTGCGGCCATCTTGAATTTACAATGATACAGAATTTATTAAATTGTATTGTCATCAAAACTGAATGTGTGTACCAAATTTCAGATCAATGCGTCAATCTGTCTGTTACCCAACCACATTTCCTTCATAAACATTTTTTTATCATTTTATTTTTGAGGTTTCAGTTTCTGATTTTGTGACTCAATTCTCCTNCCATGAAAATATTATTATATCTAGCTACTATAGTACCCGATAGTCATTAGACAATGACCGAAATTAATCGATTTGGGTTTTCGCGAAATATTTCGAGGCATGCTGACTCTACGAAAATATTTTAATTGAAGATTTCAAACACGTACCTGGGTGTATGACTGATTCTATTTTGGGGTGGCCCATCAAATATTTGGCGATTTCCAAGGAACTTTTCTGATGCCGCCTCATCCGATATGGTAAAGTTTTTATTCCTCTGATTACTTGAGAGCAGTCAAAAGGCGATGCTACATGGCCGAAATCTGTATCAATGAAGGTGAATATTATGTTCAATATTAAATGATTTTCTGGTTTAAACTGTGGAAACACTGATAATGCTAGTTTCTGTTCGAATGAATGTCCAGCCATAGGTATATTACAGAAAAAATAAAAACCAAATCTTAAAGTCAGTTTCGAACTCCAATAAATTCATTTAATTGAATATATGAACAAATATAAGGTATATTCATAAATAGATTCATACATAATTGAACATCAACAAAGGAACACATTTAAGTTGAAAAAAATATGTTTATTCCGTTAATCAGCTGTCGCACCCCTACGAACGACAACCCTCAGAAGTCGAAACTTGTGCGAGCTAAGGACTGACGAGGTCTTACCTTTTCACGTATGATTCCCAACACGTTAAAGTATTACTTTTGGTGTTTCACAATGAGCATAATCAATAATTCAATTTGATACTGTAGACTTTCGAAAGAGTGTACGAGTAGATGTCGTCATTGTTATTATTGAAAAAAAAGTTCAAGCTTGTGCTTCATAGGCAGAAATTACACAGCCCAATTCAAATATCAGCCCAATATCAAACAAAATCCAGGTCTGACAAGTCTTGGACCATGTTTCTATGTCAGACCATCACTGGTTGACCTATACGGTAAGCCAGGATCTCAGTGACCCGAAGAGGACGGATATAGCTCTCTACAATCGACTCTTAAAAGGAGCTCTGCGGGAAACAGAGGTCCTGACTCCTGGCAATAATGAAGAACTGGAAAGGGACACGGTATCTATCCAAAAACAAAATAGACATTGCCTTCCGCACTCGAATATCTTCAAACGAAAGGTTTTCTCTATTCGTATTTACCAGTTGTAGTTGTTGGTGCGAATAAAAAACAAAGTAAACTTGAATGAGGTACAGCAAGAATATATAGAGTAATTCAAGCGCCCCCCTCCTTGAATTTAAATGAAACAAAGTGTCTGAGATGTCCTCAAAATTTTTTATTTATGATTTGGCAAAACAACAAGATGCCCGTTATCATTTGTCAAAGTTTGGAAGTCCTTTGGAAGACCCTATAGTTTCCGAAAAATTCCCCGATACATGAAAATTTCAGTTGCGTTAAACCCGGCTAATCAAAAATATAGGTTGACCCCATGAAATACCTGACAAATATTCAGCGGGAATATTTTGTCAGAAAGCTACAGTACAATGAACATATTCAAATCTTATAAAGCCACAGGTTCGAATAGTACCGATTGTGTGTTATTCAATAATGTATTATAGTAGAGCTTCGAAATCAGCAGAGTAATCCTTCAGAAGTGAGGCATTCTACAATAAGAACGCTAACAGAAAAGTGAAATTACTATCGCAGCAATCGATATTTAAAAAATAAGTTTTATTACCTTCGTTTTGTCCTGCAGTGCTTCACAAATATTTTCTACTTTCGAGAAGTCGGCAAAAGTTGTACGAACACAAAAATCTGTTGCAATCTTATTGAACACTTCGTACTTCTCCCCGGATATGTCTTTACTACACACTATGTGGTCATTTTTATTCCAAATCCCTGAAAGAAACAGATGTAGAATGTCCAATCCAACCATGTTATCATCGAATGATAGAAATTAACTCTCCTCTGTACAATCCAATTACTTTTTGACATCGTCCTATTAAGCCGGCCACACACTTACAGTTGTAACTCAGTTATTACTAAACACCTATAACTATCCGATGAAACTGTGCACGTGTGTGCTTGAGTTATACTCAACTGGTCAGTTAAACTGGAAAAGATAAGTCCGGCCACACACGTAATGTATCAACTCACAGTTATAACTATATATAACTGTCCAATAAAATCGTGCATGTGTGTGCTTCAGTTATACTGAACTGGCAGCTAAACTGAAAAAAATAAAGCCGGCCACACACGTACAGTATTAACTTATAGTTATAACTGTCCCGATAAAAATGTGTGTATGAGTACTTTAGTTATATTCAACTAGTCAGCTGAACTGGGAAAAATAAGACCGACCACACACGTACAGTTTTAACTCACAGTTATAATTAAACACCTATAACTCTCCAATAAAACTGTGTTTGTGTGTGCTCTACTCATACTCGATTGGTCAGCTGAACTGGAAAAAAAATAAGGCCGCCCACACACGTACAGTTTCAACTCACAGTTATAATTGAACACCTATAACTGTTCGTTAAAACTGTAAACTGAAATGCACACAAACCGACACTTCAATATTTCAGTTTTACTTCTCGAACGGGATGAACGATTCAGCTTCTCTCACTTTATCTGTCTTAATTTTACAAACAAATAAAAAAAAGCGTCATAATGGGAATGAAAAGTGAACAACACATAAACGCGCTCGCTTTTGAAACAAACTGAACACTGTTCGATTGAACCTCACACGCACCATCAAAACAGAAATCTTCCTGAAAAATAGGGGTTCATATTCAAGGAAATTACCTTGACCTAGGGATATAACCCCCAAGGTCATGTCCATGGCCAATTCTCATCAAATGTTTCACTTTACGGAATAAAATTATTCGAGAAGTTACTCTGTAATGACTTTCAGAGTCAAGGTAACAATCATGAAATTGGTGAAGGCCATTCCCAGACCTAAAATGTTCAGTAGATGAACAACGCCGATTCTGGCCCACTTCAAGGTCGTGCGTTATTGGTAAGTGTTTCAGAGAGAGACTTTAGTGAGTGGAAGAGAGAAACTTGTGACGTAATCCTTTCAAATCCGTGATGGAAAATCTGGATTTCTCTTGAGAGAGATGACTTTGATCTTGATTCGGCCATCCAGGTAACGATCAAGGAAAATCCTCAAAATTTTGCCTAAAACGTTTTTTTCTAAAATGGATCCTTAAAAGTGATTTCGCTGTTTCCATACTTTTGGGGCACCTAGTATGGATTCTAAATAAAGATATTGATTTGATACTTTTTAAATCTATAGGAATAAAGTTCTTACCTATCACTCCTAATAGTGCGCTGATACCAGATGAGAAGCATAATCCATATTTTCCTTTATGTAGCTTTGAAATCACACGCTCTAACATAAAACGATTAGGATTTTGAACTCTACTGTAAGCGTATTTCTGTAAAAAACAAATTTGAAATTTTCTCACTAAAACGAAAAGTTCTAGTTGGTTTTATGACTTTTAATTGCTTGGTGCTGAAAGATCAAACTACTCAGACAATCCCTGAAATAAAGGGTTCCTCCAAGCAACATACGACATATCACTAGAATTAGTGGCTTATTANCCAAAACCTTCGCGGAGGCCACCGTGAGACACCTCAAGGTTGCCAAAGAGAGTGTGGCGAGTCCTCGCCTACACCTACCAATATAAAGGAGATGTCTTCTAGTGACCTGTTCGCCTTTCTGGAAAGGACAGGACGGACGATGACCTAGGAGGACAACTCCTCGGGAGGGGTGTATAATGGGTCACATGTGGGTCACCCTCCCCACTCTACAGATACGTCAGAATGTGGTTAAATCACAAAAAAACGAAGAAAGCAATTTATTTCAAAATAAACGCCATACAAAGAAGTAACTTCCAGACACAAACTGGAAGAAAAAGCCCTTTCGAAACAATTACTTTCATATCATTGCCAATGTCGAATCAGGTATCCACACTTTACCCAACGACATTGCTGAAGAAATTCGCTTAGAGGCGGCAAGGATTTTAATGCACACGAAACCCCCCAAAGCCAACATGATACGACAGGAACGAGAGGCGTTGAAGAATATCAATACAGACAAGAACATCTTAGTACTGCCTGCTGATAAAGAAAATGCCACTGTCGTGAAGAACACCAATGATATAAGTTAATATCGGACATAGCACTCAAGAAAGTGGCAAACCATAGTATTGGTTTACATTTTCTTGTTTTCCATAAAAAAAATACCTGTTTTGTGCTGATACGAGAAGTTTCCACAATAGTTACAGCATATCTACTAAATATTTTCGTGTATGTTCGTGACACTGTCTCATTTTATTTTCAACCAAAATGTATCCAAATCGACAGACTTGAATTAAAGGAGCAACATTTCCATCATATAATTCCAGCTGATTTCCATTGGTTACCAAACTTGTCTCATAAAAAACTACATTTATAATGTATTAATTACCCACCTTAGCCCAGTACTATGTGATAGTTCTTGCACTGAAAAATTATGGTTTTTTTTTTCAAATATATGTATTCATACTAGGTTGATATGCTTTGATGTTCATCTCAGACCACTTTCCCCAAAAAATTTGCACGAATTCATTGTTTGCAAATAATAAATAAAAGATCATCAAGAGGGGAGGAAAGGGGGTCACAAAATATTTTTACTACTAAATCGCACCATGTAAAAAATATTGAAAAACACTGATCTCACGTTGGGCGCCTAAAATAAAATGCGTTAACCCAATCCCATTTGCACTCTTTAATTGTTATTTTTAAATACATCACTTGCAAGAGCTTTCGTTACTTGACTTAAGGAAATCCAGCGCTTGTTCCAAATCAACAATCAAATCGCAAATGCTCTCCAATCCTACAGATAATTTAATCAGATTTTCCGTTATATTGAGTTCTGTTTTCCTATTTTTCGGCATTGTCTTGTTTGACATAATATATCTGAAATCAAAGGAATAATTAAAAAGGTGCAAACAATTTTGTTAATTTTCAAAATAAACTACTCAAAATGAATATAGAGACATGTCCTTAAAATGCAATAAGTAAAAAAAATATGTATTATTTTGTCAAACATTTATATTTATAAAATAGTTTATAGGTGCCTTTATTTATTTAACTTACATTGTTTTCAGAATGCTGTTTGGTAATACGATTAAAAAGAAATACAAATAAGTGTCAAAAACAAATAAAATTTAAGAAAAATGTACATTAATAGTGAGTACGTCCACCCCTGGCCATAAGAAGTTCGGCACAACGACGAGGCATGCTTTCCACCAAATTTCTAATTATTTGTTGTGGTAACTGCTCGTAAATCGTCAAAAGAGCATCTGCAACTTTGTTCAGATTTTGGAAGGGTTGATGATCCTTCAAACGTCTTTCCAGTTCATCCCAGAGCTGCTCAATAGGATTTCAATCCGGAATATTAGCTGGCCATCTCATGACATTTATACTGTGCTCCAGTAGGAAATTTCTCACGACCATGGCTACGTGTGGCCTGGCATTATCTTGTTGTAAAATTAACCCAGCACCCATATTTTGGGCAAATGGGACGACATGAGGTTCCAATATCTCCTCTGTGACGGAGAGCCGTCACAAGGTCCGTGTGTCCTGTCAAAGTTATACCAGCCCATACCATTATCGATCCACCTCCAAATGGAACAATTTCTTGCACACAGTAATCCAAATAGCGTTCATCGGGACGTCTCCATACCCGAACACGTCCGTCATTGTTGAATACCATGAATTTTTTTTTCATCTGTAAACATTACATTGGCCCACTGCTCTAAATTCCAATTACGATGCTCTTGACAAAAGTTTCTACGATTTCTAGGGACTCAAGCAGGTCGCCTTGCATGGAGTTGTACTTCATGAAGTCGGTTTCGTATGGTTTGGTTCGAAATTCGCGTTCCCATAGCTTCTATAAGGCGATTTTGCAGTGTTCTAGCAGAATTGGTGCGACCCCTAATCGCCCAAAGTCGTAACAAACGATCTTCTCTGCTGGTTGTTGCCCTTTGTCGATTGGGATAAGGGGCTCTTTTTACTATGCCGTAAATTTGGTAGCGATTCCAAACTCTGGAAATCGCAGAATGACTCACATTAAGCATTTGGGCTACACGACGCCTTGAATACCCTACTTCGATCAATGCCACTACTCTAGCAACTTGAAATTCGTTGAGGTACACCCTACGGTATCCTCCTTCTACCCAATACCATGACGTACCACAGCCATGACGTAAGAACCAAGTTGAATCAACCGAGAAACTTGGATTAATCATACGTGAGATTAAAAAAGCTATTTGAAAATACCGAGAAACAGACATATTGATGTATACTTTTGTCAATGCCAAGCCGAATGCTATGCGTGCAGGAAAAGGAGAAGTCACCAAAAATTATGGCAAGGAGATTCATTTCATGAGCTATCAGAATTTTTCATAACCTCATTTTCATGTCGTCGAAGCACTCAGTAACATTTTCAAACGCAATGAGTGTCAATGCAGTATCCGTTTCAATATTATTTTTATACAATTCATCACACTTCTTGTTGTAACAGCAGAAAATATTTTTTAGTTTTAAAATGACCTTGACGAAACTTACGGAATTTCTATGGTACTTTCAATTCCCCCTGCAACTTCAGTGATTATGATTGTCACCTCACAAGTAGAATTTATGTACTTAGAAGAAAAGTTCCCAATTATTTGTTTTTTAAGACTTAGCTAAAGCTTTCGATTCAGTGAGTCAGAAGTTGTTATTGTTTAAATTGGAAAAAATTGGATTATTCTGAAAATGTAAGAAATTATTTTAATAATAATTTGTTGACCCTCAATTTTGAGAAATCATACCATTTTCCTTTTACTTCTTATGAAAATCATCTACATAATCTTAGCCTATCAAAGTAACAAAAAAATAATCCAAATCAAATATTTAAGCATCATTTTAGACAGACATTTGAAATGAAACTATCAAATCAAAAATCTGATTACCGCTTACTTATGATGCTTCAAATTATTTTTTACAGTGTCCAATTCTTACCTGGATGTATCACTTTTTCGACGGCTGGGTGCTTTTCCAAATAATTTGCTATAGTTAAGGAATGTTCATGATGGGCCATCATACGTAAACCCAACGTTTTCATTCCTCTCAAAACTTGATAACAATCGAATGGTGACGGTACAGGCCCTAAGACTAAAAACAGAATGCAACAATAATAATATTGTAACAATTTAACGAATTTAATGTCTTAAACAAATTTATTTCCAACAATATTTCACTATCACCAAACTAATTTATTTAAAACACTTAGCAACTAACGGTTAATTTATTTCCACTATTTGAATTCCTTGTTTAACCGCTCGATTCACTTACTGAACTCAACTGCCCTCTTGGGACGAGAAGTCGGTTTTATATATCGGTATCGTTTTAGAATTTATAGTCGTTTCGGTATTCAACTGGATTTTAATCGGCGGTTGCCGACTGCATTCCTTTTGCGGTGATGTCATGTATTTGTTCGCTAACCGACATATCGGTCAGGGTCGGCTTCAGATTCGTTACATTATGATATAATGTTAGCACCGTTGTATTATTACACGGAAAAACATCCCTCTGGATAGCCACTCAAAGCGGTTTTCTTGTAGGGCTGTCTATAATGTTATTAGATTTTGTTTATCTACACGAACATTACACAAATTACTTAATCATCATAGCAAGATGTACCGAGAAGGAAGACAATCCAAACCAACCATAGTAAAATGCACTAATAGGGCCATTATAAAGGGATTAGAACTTTAAAATATTCAAGGAAAAGAGATATAACTATTAGGGGAAGTTGAATTTTTTTATATTAATGATAATTTAAACTAAACCCTGATACCTATATTATGCATTATTTTCAGAAGAATTTTATGGTCCACAGTATTAAATGCTTTCTTCAGGTCTAATGAAAGGACTCCACATTTTAAATGAATATTAGGTTTTTAATTCTTATTCGAATTTTGCGCTGAAATACGGTATGTAGGGTCATCATCAACGAGAATCCAAATATCGATAATCTTCCCTTTTCATAGGAACACAGTAGGCTGGGTTCACGAGTAAGGCTGACACTCGGGCTAAGTATTGCGAAAAGTGCGGCCCATGAGGGACTATGTCTGAACCAAAAATCAAATATCTGCTTTCAAAAATGACTAAAATACAGAGGTCTCTTCATCTGAAGCACAGTAGAATAATATAACCTGTAAGCCCTCTTACCACGTGATCCGCCCGAGTTGCTTTCTATAATATCCTTAAATTTCGTTTTTATATGAGCGCACGCCTATGATGAACGAATGAAATTGGCTTCGCACTTCGTATCGAGGTCATCAAGAAACTTTTGAATTTATTATTGTAAATCATGACCGAAAGAAAATAACGCCGGCCGCCACTGGTAACCATAAACCAATCGTGACGTAACAAAGAGCGCGCGAATGTACGATGATACCCACCACTCTAGAAGCAACGAGAATAGTGCTATCGACTTCGACGAAATTTCTACGGCATTCGATTACGATATTTAAAGGCTAGCCACGAGGATATCGAGACAGACAAGTGGACGTTACAGTGCGGTACGCGAAGTGATCTAGTAAGGCGATAGACGTTCAAATAATATAATAGTTGAAGTGTTTGTTGTATTCGAAGTGAAATAAAGTTATGTAGGATCATTCAGCGTCGTCAATTATTGGTCAACCCACGGGGGAAAACGTAACGTTATGAATGAAAGTAGTGGGAGTGGACTTACTGGTTAATTTTTACTGTGTCTGAAGTATATCTCACTGTAGGAATCAAACTTTCACCGAAACCATTTTAAAATTATTCTTAGTATTGGAAAATGATAATTTGACCATACTATATCACACCTTACCAGTGAGCACTGTAAACATTTTTTTCATCAACGTTTCACTGTTCACAGTCAAGCATCCCAGAAGTGAGTCTGAATGACCGTTGATGTATCTCGTTCCTGAATCCAGAACCATGTCGGCGCCAAGTTCAAGTGGCCTCTGCATGAAGGGGGTGGCATACGTGTTATCCACTCCCAACAGAATTTGACTCTCCTTTGCTATTTGCGCAGCTAGTCGTATATCATAAATGTTCAGCGTTGGGTCGCTAGGAGTCTCCATCCAGATCAACTAAAAAAACTTGAAATTGGCTGATACTTGATGAAAATCTATGATAACGTTCGGAAGTATCAATTTTTTGTGAGATGTTCACTAAATGGTTCGCAAAACCACAACATGTTTTTTACTATACAATGAACAAATCCTCAATAATTTTGGCAAATAATTGAAAACATCAGTAGATGAATAACACCGATTCTGGCCCACTTCAAGGTCGTGCGTCGCTGGTAATAATTCAAAACTATAATATAACAAGGTAGGATCAAAACACTAGTCAACAACAACAACGTGGACGAATCAGAACAACCTAGTAACACTGCGGACGAATCAGAACGACTCAGCAAAATTGCGGACCATCGTCCTCACCATCAGCTCCGTCATCGTCCCCACCATCACTATCTGAATTTATAAATACGAGTGAACATGTAGCTCACCGGTCAGTACTAAGACTTTGAGACATAACCTTCATCCGTCAACGTGTATGTCACTGATGATGTCTACCGCAGAAGTAGGTGAAACGTACGTAGGATCAGAACAAACAAAAAGGTAAAACTGGACTGAAACTGACAAAAATAGATTATTGACACCAGTCAACAAAATTAACCTAGATCCGCACTCGAATATCTTCAAACGAAAGGTTTTCTCTATTCGTATTTACCAGTTGTAGTTGTTGGTGCGAATAAAAAACAAAGTAAACTT